TTTATATTAATATTATTTTGTTTTTACATTGATATTTTGGTTATCATTTGTGGATGTTAGATTAACATTCGTAAGTTCTCACTTGTACAAATGTATATGAGAATATCGCTTTTTATTTTTTTTTTTTATTTCTTCAATCACAATCAAAAAATCTAGACATAGGAAATAATTTAAGTATGAGAACTCCTATTTTGAAAATAATGTAATATTTTAACTAAAAATAGTGCAATATAATGCTTGAAATAATGTTGCTTTTTTTTTTAAAATAAATGAATAATAATATTAAAAAGACTATTGATGGAAAGGTAGAAAATAAATAGCAAAATCAAGAAATATAGAAATAGGTTAACTTGAAATATGTTTGCCAATGAAATAATAGAAAATCTGGAGTCGATATCGTAATATATTATTGTCTCCACAAAAACATTTGCTTTTGCAAATTAAAAAAATCCTATAAAATCAAACTTATTGATAAAAAATATTAAAGACTGCATTGTGTAATTGGTTGAATATAATTACACTTTTAATATATCTTATTGAACAAGTTTGTTTTAAAATGTGAAAAAATCCTTTAATAATTATGTAATTATGTTAACAATTAAATAAACGAATTGTAAAATGTACAAATCAACGATTGTGTACAAAAATACTAATGTTTCTAAATATATTCTAATGTTTTATTTTTTTATTTTATATATGTTATTTGTTTACATTTATTATTGCCTTGTTTCAGAACAAGTGATACTAAATTTTCTATGAAAATGTTTTAGATACCAAGAGTTATTTTCCATTTCTTTGTTTTTTGTTCACTTATTATAATTTATTCAATGTAATATATTTAATGATACGAATTAGTTTAATAAAATATAAAAAATATACAAAAGAAATATTACATTTTTTCATATGTTTCATCATACCCACACGATAAACATGTATGGGAATATGTGTCATCATCTTCGTTATAAGTTTCCTCTCCAAATTCATGAACATGATCAGCCTTAATCGATTTATTATATAGAGAACTTCTTACTTGCATTCTTAGCTTTTTTATCTAGATTAAAAAATAAACAATATTAAATTTTGAAACTCATATTGTATTTCGATTGAAATGAATTGATAAGAAATTTTTAAATCGTTATTATAACAGCAGTTACTTTTTTATTAAAATTTTTCATCTTGGTTTCCTCTCGTTTCACATCGCGCTTTAATTTTTCATTTAATAAATTATCTTCTGACCCCCAAACCTCCAACGCTCTCTCTTCTACTTGCAAATGTAAATATAATTTCATTTCACCCCAACGTGGATTATGAGGATTTTTTCTAGTGATATACTTTAACGCTGGTTCTCTTTTATCGAAATCATAATCTCTTAATAAATATTCTTGCTTAGCTTCCGATTTTGTTATTAGAGAATGTTTACCCTCTCTATCTCTATAAAAAGAAAATATTTGTAATAAGAACACACACACATACAACATACTTGTTAATTTTAATATTTATTATATTAAATACCTGCACAAGTCGCATACTTCTAGATTAAAAGTCTGAAGAAGGTAAGAATCATTAAATTCTTTAGTACACTCATCACAAAGTGGTAATGTACTAATAATGGGCGCAGGTTGTGTTACAATGTTCAACTAATTAAAAAAAGACAATATTTATAATATATTTTTAAATCGAACTAATTTTAAGATAAACAAAATCTGTTGAAACAAAGTAGAAATTTATAGATTATTATTAACTTATAAATTATTTACCATTTCTTTTTCCAATTCATTATTTTCTTCTATAAGAAATCCACCTCCACTATCAACAACGTGTTTTCCTTGAACCTGAATTGCTCTACCCGTGGATGATTCATTGTTTTCTCTTTACAAAAATAAAAAGGGTATCAAAATAATAAATTAAGTAACAATAACAAGTAACAAGTAAAAATAATATATTTAAAAAATTACTTTACATTGATATAAAATATTAATTGAATAAATTAATTAATTTTACATTTATAATATTAAACATACTCTTTTTTATATGGGTGAACAACAATTTTAGACTTTTTTAATAATAATGCTTTTTGTCTATTTCTTTCAGCTCTCTCTTTAAGTTCTTGTTTCATTTCAAATGACAATTCAGTATCTTTAATTGATTCACTTTCATTATTTACTTTTTCAATCGACATTTTATTGAATTAAAAATTCTTCCAAAATAATCAAGATTCTTATTAAATAATATATTATCTCCGAATACAACCAAACTGCTCGACGATTAGCAGACACTAACGCATTTTACGAGTATACACAATGAGCCAAAATAAAATCGTTTCTAAGAAACAAAACTAGATGGATCATATTTGGACAAATTTTAAAACAAAAATTTAAAAAATTATTCAAAAAGATTTCAGATAATAATTCAAACTAAATTATTAATTTTAACAATATTTAATTGTTTTACAAAAGAATTGTCCTTATTTTATAAATAATGAAAATAAATTTAGCGCTCATTGCGCTCACAGTTAGTGAATAGAAATTAAATCAAAAATAAAATTTACGTTACATTAAAAATGATAACGAAATAAAAGTATGATAATAAAATGTGCAATAATTTTTTTAACTTATACATTAAAATATAAATAAAAGAAATAATAATTATAATAAATATTAGAGTAGGGATTGTAGAAAAAATGATTGGTAGCATGAGTTGACGTTTCATTGAAGATCCATGAAATTCAGTTATTATCAACATGGCGCGAGGTAGTAGTGCAGGTTTTGATAGACACATTACGATTTTTTCGCCGGAAGGTCGGCTTTATCAAGTAGGTAAGTAATTAAAAATTTTTCGATTTAATACTACGATCCATACCAAATAAATTTATTATATTTTTAATTGAAGTTAAAATATTAACTTTCAAATTTTTACATTACTGTGTCATGACATGGCGCATTCGAACTTTTTAAACTTATTTAATAATTATTTTTATATTTATTTATATATTTTACAGAATATGCATTTAAAGCTATTAATCAAGGTGGTTTAACATCTGTCGCAGTAAAAGGTGTAGATACTGCAGTTTTCGCGACACAAAAGAAAGTACCTGTAAGATAACCTCTTTTCTCATAAATATTTTAATAAGATCAACTAATTGCCATCATAAATCTTATGTACTTTTGCTAATTTTTTCGTTCCAGGATAAGTTGTTAGATGCTTCTAGTGTTACTCATGTATTCCAACTTACAGAACACATTGGCTGTGTTATGACAGGCATGATAGGTAGTAAATTAATTCATATTTTTTATATTTTATATTCTTTGGTTTATTATAATTAATTATAATTATATTCTTTATTTTTTTATAGCCGATAGCAAATCTCAAGTACAACGAGCAAGATACGAAGCTGCTCATTTTAGATATAAACACGGTTATGAAATACCAGTAGATGCATTATGTCGACGTGTCGCAGATATCAGTCAAGTGTATACACAAAATGCAGAAATGCGACCGTTGGGATGTTCAATGATGCTTATTGCATATGACAAAGAAAAGGGTCCTTGTATTTACAAAACTGATCCGGCTGGTTATTTCTGCGGATATAAAGCTATATCTGTGGGTGCTAAGCAAACGGAGGCTAATTCTTATTTGGAGAAAAAGTTAAAGAAGAAACAAAATTACGATTTCGATGAGACTATTCAATTAGCTATTACTTGTTTATCAACTGTCTTGTCTGTTGATTTTAAACCAACAGAGATAGAGGTTGGTGTGGTATCCAAGAACAATCCTAAATTTCGGTAATTATATATTCTAATGATCTATAAAAATGTATCATTTGATATAATAATCTACAGTTTTTCTTCTTTTTTTTTATAGCGTACTGACGGAACAAGAAATTGATAAGCATTTAACAACAATTGCTGAGAAAGATTGATAATTTTACGTAAAGATTTTAATAAATACATTAAAAAGGTCTTATTAATTTTATTTCAATACTTACAAAATTTTAAACAAATGTATGTCATGAAATGATGCATTTGGTTTATCAACAAATTAATAAACGTCATAATTGAGTGATTTATATTAAAACATTTATTCTTTAGTTTAGCCAAATCCAATGTAGTTATCTAGCTAACTATTGTTTAAATTATTTTCCTGATGCTGTTGCTAAAGGATTTCTAAGAACTAGAATGACGGAGTCTCCGCGAAGAAACATTTTTGTGATAAGTCTATCCTTATTAACTGGTTTTGCCTAAAAAAGTAAACATATAAAAAAGCTAATTCATATCACAAATTTGTCACATTTAAAATATTAGTTACCTTCTTTTTTCCTTTGCCGGTACGTGGTAGTTCTGTCCACATTTCTTTTACATTTTCCAACACCATATTACAATGTCTGTCAAATGCTTTTACTCTACCAAGTAACTTTTTATTATTTCTACAGTTTATTAATACTTGTGTGTTATTTTTAACTGATTGAGTTAATACTGAAAGCGGTCCAGTATTAAATTCTTCTTCTTCCCTCTTCGCTAATTCTTCTGGTGTCATTTCTGACTTAGGTTTTGTTAAGGATGACCTAAGCAATAACAATAATTGCAATTGAAAATAAAAAAAACATTATAAAAAAGTAGTATATAAATATACTGTTTCACATGAAACATTCTAACCTATTTCAAACTTATTACAATAAAATAAATATCAATTTTATACAATATATAATCTATTTAAACAAAACAAAAGTTATTTATTGCGCAGTCTAGAATTTATAATCTCAATCAAATTCTTATATATTTTAATTAATATGAATTACTTACATCTTCTGTAAAGTTTAATAATTGAAGAAATTTCCAGTAAATAAATCTGCGTGTTGCTTTCCGTAATATCGATGTGTAATATTAATCGTATATCGAATACAAGTTATTTTCATGTAACTACATCATACAGTCTAATGCAAAACCCTTCATATAAATGGGACTTAAAAGAAAGCAATTCCTAATCTTTCATTGGTTAAAAAAGAAATCATGATATATACACACATTCATATATATAAAAATAGTGTTCAATAGTTTTGACAGTTCTTGGCACCATCTCAAAACTCAGAACATTGAAGTTATTGTTGTTAATATTTCTAAAGTTTAATTACATTAATGATAATAAATACAATAATGTAAAAAATAAATTGTGAAATAGTTCAACGCGTTTAATCATTTTTGACATTGTTTGTCAAATTCTTTCGACATAGTATGTATATATAAATGCATCAGGTTCCGGCTATGCAGCTCAGTCGAGTTTGCAATTTTTCTTTGTTCAGGTAGTTTATATTTTGGCAGAAAAATTGATCACTGTCTTGTCAAGCATTCGTTCGGTTACAATATAATATTATTTATGTATTTTAATATAAATATTAATACAAATATAACATTTTATTTATAGAATGTGAATATAAAGAAAAAAAAAAATCTACACAATAGAATTGAGGATCTCATATTTGGAAACAAAGAAACATCAACATGTGGAAACCGTTTGAAGCTGGAAGTTCTCCAATAGATTGGTGCGAAGGAAATTATAATATATCACCGAGCATTGCAGAATTTATGAATACGGTTTGTGGAATAATTTATTTAATATGTATTGTTATTTATTAATTTTCTTTGTCTATAAAGAAAATCACTTAGTTAAGGAAGGTTGACTCATTTTATCGTGCCATTTTCTTTGTCATTCATATTCTATCTACTCGTAGAAACAAACATTATTTGTTTTTTTTTTTCTTTGTTTCAGTTGAGCAATGTAGTCTTTTTATTACTTCCACCTGTATTAATGCACCTTTTTCGTGATTATGGAAGATTTGTAAATCCAGGAATTCATGTGATATGGTTTCTACTTATGATAGTGGGTGTGAGTAGTGCCTACTTTCATGCAACTTTATCTTTAATAGGTAAAATGTGCATTCAAAATCAATAAAATAGATAATATGTTATTGATTAACAAAAATGTCAATCGTTGTTATTTCAGGTCAGCTTTTGGACGAGTTAGCTATATTATGGGTATACATGGCTGGTTTTTGTATGTTTTTCCCAAGGAGATATTTTCCTAATGTTTTCCGTAATGACAGAAAACGTTTTTCAATGTTTGCTACTTTTCCAACTTTAATCGCTACTGGTTTGGCATTGGTACATCCAGCATTAAATGCATTTGCCTTAATGAGCCTTGGTATACCAGCATTTGGTTTTATGATAATAGAACTTAAAAGGTATGGTTTGTATCTATAAATATTTTTATCATGTTTAATAGTCAATTGATTTGAATTTACATACTTTCGTTTAAAGAACAACATCGATGAGGGTCTACAGACTGGGTGTTCGTTGCGCTGCTGTTTGGATTTTAGCTGTTGCGTGTTGGTTAAATGATCGTTTGTTCTGCGATACTTGGTTAAATTTAAATTTCCCATATCTTCATGCCTTATGGCATCTATTCATTTTTATAGCAAGCTATACAGCAGCAGTACTCTTTGCTTATTTTTCCGTTAAGGAAGAAAGACCACAACAATCGCCTATACTTCGATATTGGCCAAGGAACGATTTCGAACTTGGTATACCATACGTAACAATTAAAAGTTATGTTAAAATTGATACAAACAGTAACATATAATTAACATCGAGTAACATATCAGTAAGGCTATAACGTGCATTTATTATCCATTTAGTAAAATGGTAGTCGATTAAAAAACGAACAACAATATGGCGTGTTTAACACAAAATATTTTGTATATCTATTTTATACAAAATCCGTTCTTATACATTTGAGCGGAATGTAAGATTGTTATACCAAACAGTATGTGAGAGGATAACGTATGTCCTTATGGAGATTACTTACATTTAAATTAATTGTTATATGTATATATCGGAAATTTTATTTAAAAAAATCTTTTATTTAAATTCGTTTTTAAATTGATTTAATTGTTAACATTTATTTACGTATTTTATCGTATATAATTTGTTTAAAAAAAACAATGTGATAATTAGCTTATTAAATGTATGATTATTTATAAAATTTTAAGTACATTAATTGAGAATTGAACTGTGTAAACAATTGAATTGTTTTTTATTCAGATAATTGAAATGAATATTTCAAAGCGAACGTCTTAAAGACAATTTACTTTAATTTATATTATACTTAATGAAATAACACTAACATTTGTCGTGATATTTAACTATCGTATAGTATTCCATAAAAGTGCATGATACAATATTGCAAGTTTCTATATGTCTTAAAAGTATATTGCATTATTGAGCATGAATAAGAAGAAAATATATATATTTTGTAGTTATATATTATTTATATTTAAGTGTATACTATGTACACACATACATATATAATATCAAATTTGCGTACTTAGAACTTAGAAAAGATATATATAAGTAAAAGATTCGTATCAGTGTATTAAAATTAACGATATGAATAAACACGTGTAACAATAAGATTAATAAAGATATTAAAAATATATATTAAATATATTAAATCTTTTTTTAAAAACAAATATAATATAAGAAAATATATAATAAACTTTTTTCTATTAAGAAATAGAGATGAAACATTTACTCTCCTCTATAATAAACAATATTATTATCAGTTTCATGAATTTTCACTTCATACAATAAATCTGGATTAGGCAATTCTTTTTTCAATTCGTTGTAAATATATATAGCTAAATTTTCAGTAGTTGATACAACATATTTAAAATAAGGTACATCTTTGTCTAAATTTTTGTGATCCAGTCTATCCATCAATACATTTTTCATGTATACTTTTAAATCAGATATATTCATAACCATACCAGTTTTAGGGTCTAAGGGTCCACGGACTGTCACTTCAACTGCAATCATTGAAATTTTTCTTATAGTATTTATAACACGTTATTTTATATTAATATTTATAAATTAATATAAAGCTAGTATGGAAGTTACCCGTATAATTATGTCCATGTCCCCAAAAATTATTACATTTTCCATATATTTCTTTGTTTTCTTCTTCGCTCAGCTGATGGCTGTAACGATGAAACAAAATTAAATTTTATTAAAAATGATACTTGTTATCTTATTAATCTTGTAGTATAAGAAAAAATGTATTCGTATATACAGATATATAAATTATTGATACCTGTGCAATCTGTGACAGCTGGATATTGATTCTTTTCTTGTTAAATAAGCAATTGGTTGGGCCATTTTAAGGAAATTCTTTGACAGTTAACTGCAAGTTGAATTCTAAAACACGCTTATTCTATTGTAATAGTTTATAACTGTTGCAATATTATACAACGAAAAGTAATCTATATTTATGAATATTTAACTAGAAAAAGTGGTTATTTAGAAAAAATCAAGGACGATTATTGAAAACATTCTATAATCGAGGTTATGCGACGTAATTAAACCATTTCGAAAAATATTTATAAAAGAAATAATTTTGTCATTCAAGTTTTGCTATTAATTGTAGGCAATAAAATTATTTCATCAAGAGATTACAAATATTACAAATGTCAAACCTAATACAGAAGTTTCAATGAATATATTAAAAAAAATAAAAAATTATAAGAAACAACAAATATTTATAATTGTATAAAAAATAAACTTAAACAAATCTGAAAGATATTAAAATAAAATATTTAAAATGTTTCTAGATATCAAATTGAAATCGATCCAATTGTCACGCAAATTCAAACTTCCCGCTAATAATTCGACTAGACAATGAACAAAATCTAGCCAATAGGATTACAGATGCACGCGTTAGTTTATGCATTGTAAATGGAACTTAAAAAAAATCAACTATTCTAGTGCAATATTGGTGCATATTACTAATTCAATATGAGCTTAAGACTGTGTTTAAGACCAATAGGTTGTTTCATGATAAGATAAAAATCTACTATCAAGTAAATCACACTCTTACCTACTCGAAGATAAGTTACATCTGCTAGTGGTATTATATTGTTGTTTGGATTTTATTGCAAAATACTATTGTATAGTAATCACATTTCCTTTATTCGTATACTGTCATGCCGGTAACGCCCTATTAAACTGTAAGAATTAGTCATTTCACGGAATGTGCGATATAAATATTATTTGAATCTAGAAAGTGAAGGGTTGTGAAACGTATTTGACTCTTGTTTTATAAAATGGATAGCAAGGGAAGAAAAATTATTGTCTGTGATAATGGAACCGGGGTAAGAATATATATAATTATGTCATTTATTTTAATATATATATATTTTTGAGTCCTTTTTTGTTTTTTAATATATTGTTCTATATATATATATATGTTCAATATATAATTATTAATATATTATTTATGGAGTGGGGGTAAGCATATTTATAACTGAAATTTTTTTATATTATATATTGTTTAGAATTCCTTTTTTTTTAAATACATTGTCCTATATATATATAGAAAGAGAATATTTATATATTAATATTTTAAATCATCTCATTCATCAAGTATTAAACTACATAAATGTTATATAAAAATAACATATTTCCATATTTTTTTTTCGATATCCATTGTTCCTACCTTGATTTATTATTTTAGTTCGTCAAATGTGGATATGCAGGAGCAAATTTTCCTGCTCATATATTTCCTTCGATAGTTGGACGTCCAATTATAAGGGCCGTTAACAAAATAGGAGACATCGACGTGAAGGTATAATTTTTACTTTTGTTTATAATAATGCGCTTAATTTAAAACATGTATTAACATACTTCTATATATGATTTATGGTTAGCTTTTATTGGAAGTGATTACATTTTTTTGATTTATTTATTTCTTTTTACTCATTTCTTATTTTCTTTTTATTTTTTGTTTTCTATTATTCCGTTACTTTATATTAAAAATAGACACTATTACAGTTTTCTTCAGTAAAAAATAATGATCAAAATGAATTAAATTAATTGGTAATTATTATGCTTAAATATAAGGAACACATATTACAGATTTCTTCATTTTTGTATCGATATTAATGAAATATTGATTCATAGTTAATCCATATTTATCTTTGATTATATATCCTCGTGCAAAGTTACAAGCAAATAGACGTTATTACAATTTTTTTTTCTTAGCAATTTTATAAAGAAAAAAAATTAATCGTTAAGTTTTGGAAAATATACTTATATATAATAAGTAAAGTTATTAATATATTAAAATTATATTTTCAGCAAGAATATTGTGTTCGTGTAAGTCAATTTATAATGTTACCACGTGTGGCTCGATGAAATTAAAAAAAAAGATTGCGTTTAAAAGCTTATTTATATTTTCCTACTGACATAAATATAAATGTAAGAGTTTGAACTTATTAACCAAAATTGACTTTTATTAACAAAAATTTGAAAAAAAGGAATGTATATCACAAATGTAAGATTATTATTATCTATGTAATTATTATAATATTTTTAATTCATCTCGACATTATGTTGTCAGAATTAAAATTTGTATTAATTTGTTATATTCATGCATCAATCTATTTGATGCTGTTGTTGAAAGTCTTTTGCTTGTCTTCATTTATCGAAAGAAGGAAATAGGAGAAAAATTTGTTATTAGGTTTTTTTAGTCCATATTTGGTACATCGGTATGTGTGTATATACTGTGCTTTTGACAAAATATCTAATATGTTTGTGTGCTTACATTTGCTCTCGTAGGATGTGCTTAACATGCCTGTAAGTTTAATGTATTTTTGATGCTAATTTGTACATCTATTTCATTGATTGATCATTAAAAAATTTTTATAATAATAATTCCTTTTCTTAGTGAATATAAATGGAGATGTAGTCTCTAATAATTAATTAATCAATTGAAGTAATTCCTAAATATATATATTTCAAATTTCAACATCATTTAATCAAATTAAGTAATTTTCATTCCATTTATATTATTCGTTTTATTTATATTTTTGTTATAGTCACGATAAATTTGTAAAAAATATATTTAAATAATTACAATGATTTTTATTTTTCTAATATAATGTTAATCACATATTAAAAATGGTATAAGTATTATTAACTTAGATTGGCAATTTATAGGCATATAACAATAAATAAGATTATACGAGTCTTTAAGTCTGAATATTGTATAATAAAATTTGTAAAATACCAATACTATGTGAGCAAACATCCACAAGCGCCATGTGCAATGTTTGATCATCCATAATCTCAAGTTTTCTATTTAATTTATCTCAACAGTAACAATGATCTTTGCATTTTAGTTTTTAATATTTTAATTCATTGAGAAAACTATTAATCGCATCTGATGAATTATTATAACAGGACTTAATGGTCGGAGATGAAGCGAGTAAACTTCGTTCTATGTTAGAAATTAGTTATCCCATGCAAAATGGAATTGTTAGGTATGTGTAAAGAGTTTAATATGTAATTTCTCTTATTTTTATTTATTTAATTAAAAACAATGTAACATTTTTTATTAGAAATTGGGAGGATATGTGTCATGTTTGGGATTATACATTTGGAAAAGAAAAAATGAATATTAATCCTAAAGAATGTAAAATTTTGCTAACTGAACCGCCAATGAATCCTATCACAAATAGAGAGAAAATGATTGAGGTAAAAAATATATTATATTTTTTTATTATTTAAAATTCATTATTTATTTAATTATGTGAACATAATAACGTTTTTCTTTTTATTATTTGTTTTAGGTGATGTTTGAAAAATATGGATTCGCTGGAACATATATTGCGATACAAGCTGTGCTTACACTATATGCTCAAGGATTAATTAGTGGGGTTGTGGTAGACTCCGGGGACGGAGTAACACATATTTGTCCAGTATTTGAGGAATATGCTTTGCCTCATTTGACGCGTCGATTAGACATTGCTGGTCGTGACATTACTATGTATTTAATAAAATTACTTTTATTACGCGGATATGCCTTCAACCATTCTGCTGACTTTGAAACGGTCAGAATGCTTAAAGAGAAATTATGTTATATTGGATATAATATTGAAACTGAAGAAAAACTAGCTCGCGAAACTACTGTCTTAGTGGAATCTTATACAGTAAGTTCAATGATCTATATAATTTTAAAATAAAATATTTTCAGTTTTAATATTCGTCAAATTCTATGAATTATTTTAGTTTTTTGTTCATCATTGTTAATAGTTTTTTTAAGCTTCCAGATGGTCGAGTGATAAAAGTAGGTGGTGAAAGATTTTCAGCACCAGAAGCATTGTTTCAACCTCGTTTAATAAACGTTGAAGCTCAGGGAATCGCTGAGCTAGTATTTAGTACAATTCAAGCAGCCGATATCGATATCAGAAGCGAATTGTACAAACATATTGTTCTTAGCGGTGGAAGTACGATGTACCCAGGACTTCCATCTAGACTTGAACGAGAGATCAAGCAACTTTATTTGCAGAAAGTTCTCAAGAATGATACATCCAAACTTAACGTAAATAAATTATAATATTTATTATCTCTACACACACGCAAAATACGGTTTCTCCAAATAATTATCTTCTTACTACGTTTAATAGAAATTTAAAATCAAAATCGAGGACTCACCTCGACGCAAAGATATGGTGTTTATGGGTGGTGCTGTATTAGCTGAAATAACGAAGGATCGAGATTCCGTATGGATAACTAAAGAAGAATACGAAGAGAAAGGTCTTAGTGTATTAAAGAAATTAGGATCCTATGAATCTTAAGGACATGTTATTTTAGTGCAAGGTGCAACAGGAAACAAAAGTTAAATTTCTTCAGACTAAAAGTGATGCGGTCGCCATTGAAATATAGTCAAGTTGTTTTACAAACTACAAATTACTTGAATGATAATATAAGACAGACAGACAAAATGCTTGAGTTTGCTGTAAGGGCTATGTCATGCCAAATAGAATATTTATTTTGGTTATGCAGATTAGTGCAATTAATAGAGCTATATAATCAACCTGTAAGATCTCTTCAAATGGGATAGTGAAGAACTAAATGAATTTTTATTTTAAGTACAATTAATAATCGGATGGATCATTAAAAAATATAGAAAATTTTTTACTTGGAATTACATAATTATTTTATACTGTACAAACAATTTGAACACAATTCATAATCTCTGGAGCTTTTCTTTTATATGCATTCCACAAAACGAATTTTGTAAATATAACTTTTATAAATATCATCTTTTTTTTTTCATTTAGTCAAATTTTACATTTATTATCGAAGCCATATAGCTGCTTCTCTGCCAAAATAATAAATAAGAAAGACGACAGTTTCCTATAGATCCTAACTTCGGTAAAATAAACTTGATAATCGGTGCAATGGCTGAAATTGTTATTAAGGAAAAAACATTGATTGATTTACTTCTATTTCTATAGACATACATCATAGTAATTTATTCATAGGTTGAAAATAAAAAAACTTAGATAAATTAATTAAATAAGCGATTTATATTGTATAATATAAAAAAAAAAGAAAAAAAAATATAAAACTACAATTAAGTAATAGTTTATATAAAACCTTATGCATTTAATAATTTAATTACTCTAAGGTATTAAATATTTTATGAAATTATAGAAGAGGGGGAGGGAAGAACATTTTTTAAGTTTTTTTTCTTAAGTTTTCTCACATTTTACAAAAGACACGAATTGTCAAAAAATTGTCTACATTGTTCTTGTAAAAAGTAGATTTATGGATAAGGAAGGATATTTCAGTGTTCATTTCATTTTTATTGTTACTTAAATAAATATTAAGTAGAATTAAATGTATTTCTTCTAAAAAGTCTTCCACGATAATTTCGAGATCTTAGAAATTAATTGTTTGCAAAGAAGACACACATAATCTTTACAGATATATTTTGTTGTTGTCCTCTTAATATGATAGTTGAAATGAAACATATACAAGGTTAAATTGATTTTGAATTCCTTTATACATAGCTTTTAATACAATGGCAACATAAAATAATTCCAAATTATGATTAATCTACAACAGTCTTTATTATGCGTTACGCCATATATGCGGGGGGAACCTTTATATTATGTATCTATGTACACCATTTTTATGTATAAATAAAAATAACAGTTTAATTTGTATTATACAATTTTGCATTCTCATATGGGTTAGACGACATAACAGTAGATAAATGTATATGTATTTAATTTTGTTTTTTTTTCCATTTGTACAACTTGACTTCAATATCATTCTGTATAACAATGAAACAACAAGCAATTATGCTATCGTATGTGTGTGTGTGTGTGCGCGCGCGCATGTGTGTATGTGTGTGAAGACAAAAGTTTTTTAGTTTTGAATGGTGTATTATACTACACGTTATACAGTTGATTTTTGAAGCGTATAAATTTTTTTACACGCTTCTGGATATTATCGACGAGATAATAATATGATAACTTCATTTTTTCTCTTTTTTTCCGTTCTTTTCCTATTTTCGTTTTTTTTCTTTCTCTTTTTTTTCGTTTTCTTAAACTGTATGTATGTATATATATTATATTATATATATACATTATATTTTAAGCAAATAAAAAAAATAGTATACAAAACACTTTATAATATAATTCAAAAGTGTTTCACAAATATCTGCAATTAGAAGAGATTTGCAGATTTTATAGAATAACCTTACCAAGACACTTTGAATGAAGTGTAAAGATGGAGTTGTATAGAAAATTTGTTTTAAACCCTATAAATCACGTTCAGAATGTAATTGGCTTATTTTTGCATTGTTCGATACAAAAATTGGTGAAACGTTTAAGGAACTTTGGATACTCTCTCTTGTAAATCGCACGTAAAACAGATGCCGGTGCCCATCCGCCAGGATTTACTGAAATTCAGATTTTAATTATAATTATAATCTTAAATTGTTTATGTAAAAGCATGTTGTAAAACATACCGACTGAACAGTACGTTATTTTGCAAGTTATGTTATCCCGTTTTATTTCTTCTTCATCTTTCGGAGGGTCAATAAATGTTTGACATACAAGACACACTGTCAAGTAAACTCTCACGCATTTACCAACATTTGACTGGGAAAATATAATTTGTATAAAAGTATATTATTATATAAAATATATTATTTGTATAAAAATATTTGACACTTGAATTTTTATAATACCAACCGGATAATCAGAATGTTCTGTACTGTGGTTGCATACTATCCATAAATCTTGTGAATCTGGATCTTGATCATCTTTTACTCTACGTATGTGAGACCAGAAAAGGGCATCCCGTTGGGTTGCAGGCCAAATTCGTTTATGCGTTTGTAGAAATACCAAAGTATCCTTGGAGATATTTTCTATTACAGTCATATCTTCGAGTGTAGCTTCCCATTCGCTTCTATATTCGGGGCCGAAAAATATTTCGCAAACTTCGTGTCCAGTCACACCTTTTACGACGTGACAAGCTTTAAGTGGATCTACTACCAAACCATCAGCTTCTTCCTCTCGTCTATACATTCGCATATCACCGTCTTCAGCAAATAATTGCCATCCTCCTGCACCTCCTACACCAAGTCTAGCATAGTGTAACTGTTGCATTGTTATTTTCTCTATCTATAATTACAATATTTTTTATTATTACTCTCATGCGCAAACACATTTTTTATACTTTCATAAAAAATAAATTAAAACAATAATTAAATTACCTCAGGCCAAAGCCTATGCTTAACTGCTGACGTAGTAGGCATAGTTAAAATGGTGACAGATTTTTGTTTCAAACGATCTCTTAATTGATTTTCTTCATCAATTTTATCTAAACCAGTTTCTACTGCATCATAAAATTCTTCGTCACAGAGCGCACTGTGTGGGCCTTCCTTAAAATTGTTAATTTTTTAAATTAATACTTATAGTTATACAGTTGACAAATATATAAATGTAAATCAATTATTTATAAAAAAAATATATTCTCTGTCTATATGAATATCATATTAATATTGTAACTTACTTCTTCAGAACAACACATTTTTCTAATTTCATGCTCTAAATTAGTACAAGTTTTAATTTCTAATACACACGTGAAAATACTGCAGAAACATATGTAAGCATTTATAAAAGCTATCCGTATAAATGATGTAATGAAATGAACAATATCGCAGAACAAATAACATCCGTCAAAAATAACAAACGAAGCATTACTAAATATATCTATAGTGTGATAAATATTTAGATGAATTAATCACACGTTTTATCCATTCTATGTGTAAACAAATGATGGTATATCCAATTAAATTAAATAAATATATAAAAAAGGGGTAATTTTAAGTAATAAGATAAGTTTAATGTCCTAGTAAGCAGAAGATCTTGTTCAAAAAAGGTCAGATAATAATAAAAATCAAACCTCATAATCAGGACCTCCATGAATGAGAACTCGAGGTCTTGGAGAGTCGCTTTGATGCATGGTAATTTGGTCTTTTAAGGTTTTGTACAATTCTTGTAATTTTCGTTTTTTTTCAACCTCTTTATCCCATCTACGACGCCATGCATCTTCACGTTGTATCATTAACTCAATGCAATGTTGCAATGTCGCCAATACTCCTTCGCTTGTTGCTTTAAATGTAATTGCTTCGCCCTTAAAATCCACTGACTGTTCAGCCGGATTAAATTTTTTTTCAATCTTATTTTCTGCAAATTATGACGAATAAAATTTACATCAATCGAAAGAGTATCAATTCGTCTGATCTTCTTCCACTTATATATGTAATGTATGTATATGTAATATTGTAAAATTAAAGAGAAGGCCATACCTTTTGAAGAAGCATTTTTAGCATTTTCTGCGCAATTATCAAAATATTTTTGTAATGTATCGATTTGCTTTATTAGGATATCTCTGAAAGTTTCTATTTCTGCTAATTTTTCTTTTAAACCTCTAATACCACGCTTAGTAAAACTACCAGCACTTGTAGTGGACTGTGTGTTCGATACTAGAGAAATGGCACTACCATGACGTTTAAGACTATTTTCACTTCCATACCCTGATTCTGACTGTTTAATAAAAATACATTGAAAGTTGAAATGTTATTCATGCATTTGCAAAATCATACATTATCTTTACCCATTTATATTAATTGGCTACATTTATACATAATTACATTAATGCATAAATATAAGCACAGCAATAAATGATATATATTTTTCTAAATGTTTTTAATTAAGATTTACCTTATATGATTTTAAAACATCTACCCATCTTTGTTTTTCTTCGGGATTGGTTGCTCTCAAATACCATACTAAGCAATCGTTAACAGATACGTCAAATCTACATTCATCAAATTCATGTGCCTATTAAATTAAATCAAAATTATAAAATAAATTAACGGATGCATTAACTATTCCTTTGGGACAATATAACGTCCAATACATTCTAAAACAGGGACAGTAAATAAGATTTGATCAACGTGATAAGATATGGTGAAATTTATAGTGATCTTTTTCCCATATCAGCTTCTATGTACAGATTATATAGATAAGTACATATAATAAATATTAAGACCATTGGATAGCTTATAGAGCAGTTTCCTAAAAATCTATCTAATCTTTTGTTGATAGCTTCACCTCATTGAAAAAATTAGTTACTACTTGATCACTGAAGCTGAGTTCCGCTTCAGAATATTGTATACTGTTGACTTTAGGTAGGTGTTGCCAAGATCTCTCAAACCCGTATATAAAAGGGAGAGTAATAAAAATAATATAATAAATATTAATGATTGCGTTCAGTCTTATCTATCTCGTATTTATAATTGTATTGAATGGCCTTCTGTGCTTTCTATAAAATTTGATTGAATATGGACTTTTGTATACGTGCATGTGCCATTAAACTTGCCATTCGTGCCACTTATTTGTCATCCCTGTTTTAAAAATCTAACATATCCTACCTTGATATTAGCTTTATATAGACTTATTGAACCACGGCAACCAAATCCACTATCCTGTTCAGATTTGTAATAAGACAAAGTACCATTCTTGAGAACAATAAATCTAGTTTGCCAGCCGTGTATATAATTAGTCCACTTGGATAATGTACCCTGAAGTTCTGGAACTACCACACCGTCGGAACCATCATCGTCGTCCCCATCAAGTTCTGCTTCCATATATTCAATTTCTTCATTATTAAGGCGAAGTGCCTCTACTTCATCAGCCATTATCAGGAATGAATTGGACCAAATACCGTGTTATTTAGGATTGGCACAACATACCAGAGTGATTTTTATATAAACTGCGTAACCAATGGAAATATATGATTTGACTGAATGTTTCATTAATTGATATGTACAACTAAATTATGATTATTGGATGACTGGGCAATTTTTGCGCGGGGATACCTTTTCAAAATATAATTGGAATAATTGAAGCTAACATAACCTCAAGCGGTAGGTTTCCGATATTTATTATCATACGAAAGGTTAAATCATTCATAAACTTTTTTCTTATTATACGTAGATAAATAATCAACACTTGGTTGTACCACAGACTATACTTAATTTTACTCTTATACTCTTGTAGACAAATACAGGGCGTTTTCTTTTATCGTCTTAACACAAACACACATTGATATAATACGTTTGAAGTTTCCTTCGTAAACACTATTCCACATATAGCATATTTAATGTCGCGTAGTGTTAGATAACAATAATAATTAGAAATAAAGTTTTTTCTTTCTCCCCTCTCTTTCTCTTTTTTTTTTCAATACTAGAAAGAATCAACTCACTCGTCTGAGATGCACCATCAAATCCTACCGTGACGATTTGCGAGGTAAACTTGCTCTGACTATTGTTTTTTCTCACATTATATTTCAGACGAAAATTGAACTTTAATTATGACAATATATTTAAGCTGATTATGAATAAGGTATTAGTCATCGGCTACAAACGATAGTTCCTTGGAAGCACTTGAAAAAGATATAGAATTATTCGATAACAATGTAGTTGAACAATTTTAAAAACACGTGTGTGATGCTCAGGGTTCTTAAAATACTCGATTGATCACTGCTCAAGAGACGCTGTCTCCAACTATCGGACGAATAATGGAATTAAATTTTATTTATTATTATCCTGTTTTACTTTATCGACATTATTGTTAAAATTTATAAGCACAAAAAAGTTGGTATAGAACCTTAACAGCAGAAAAAAATGAATAAGTGCACTTATTTGCTCACTATTTGCTCAAATTTATTTTATCAAATATCTTTTATTTATCGTTAATTAGTTGAAAATAATTATTACACTATGAATAATTATGAAATGGTGACGTCATGAGTGGGAGATATATTATACACATGCGCAATCACAAATTCAAGGCGCAAGCACACTTGAAAAAAAATGAAAATAAAGTTGGTATACCTGCAGGGGATATATTTAAAATTGATTTTCAAAGTAACAACCTATAAGGTAGTGAAGAGAAATAAGTTAATCGTTCATAATATATAAATAATCGGTAAATATTTGCATTTTTTTCTGCTGTTGCGGTTCTATGCCAACTTTTTTTTGGAGAAGTATATAGAAACTCACAAGTCACAATTATCATTTCTTTTATATCGATGTTTTTTCCTTATCGATGGATCCTCGTAGTTGCAACAGGTAATCGAACGCAAACGTTGTTACTTTTTGTCATCAGATGGCAACACGTATCTAAGTTTACGCAATATTTTAAATGGCAGCATACCTCTTTACTTGCAAGCAACAAAAAGTGACTTTTATTTTTGACAATAGAGATATAATGAGAGTATAAAAGATTAATTTAAGTAACTAATTTCTAAGGCAATAGTATTCTTCTCTTATTGAGGTAAGAATGTTTTATTTCTTTGTTCAAGTTTATTAAAAAAGAAAACAAAACGATACTAACATGACGCTGATGAATTAAATCCTGTGTGAAGAGAGTATTCTAAGCTAATTAAATAATTTATTACACATATATGTAATTATTTATTATCAGTAATTTTTTAACAAATATTATTTAATTTGCATTATTAAATTTTTGCCGATTCTTATAATAAATAAATCTTCAAAATGATTGCTAGAGAGAAATGGAATACATTCTATACGTATATAGAAATAAGTTAAACAAACATGGAATCCGGTTTATTGGAAGTATGGAAGGTAGCGATCGATTAGATTAAAAAATGAGGAAATAGGAAATAGGTCCTTCGAAGATTTAAATCGACACGAAACTGCGGGGAGGAAATGAAAAACCGTAAGGGGGAAATCGTTTGGAGTCACCCGCTTCATGACTGCACGTATGCGTAGTAAATGTGCCGAGAGAAGTGAAAAGGAGGAGGAGATTATGGAGGTGGATGTGGATGAGGAAGAGGAGGATGAAGAGTAGTAGTAGGAGTAGAGTAGCAGTAGTATTAGAGTGAGGGAGAAGGAGAGAAGCTTCCCAGGGTCCTCTCTTTCCCCCAACGTCTCTCTGGGACCCTGATTCGCTCGTCTGAAAACCTTGCTCTTTTACGCAATTTTAGCGTTTATTAAAGTTTGCTCGCAAATGAAACGAAGCCCATATAACCTACCTAATTTAGCGAGTAGCATTTTCGAGTGGGGGCCACTTCAGAAGAGAGAGAGAGAGAGAGAGAGAGAGAGAGATAAAGAGAGAGAGAGGTGGAGAGGCTGGCTTCTATTGACAGCGGTTATTGCCTAACTGCGTACCTCCACCTAATATGCCCGCTCGGGGATTCGCATGCAGGGCCGCTCGAACGAAAACTGCGAAACACGACTGCGAATCTTTAATTCCGCCGCCGTGGTAATCCGCCCCCGCCCAACCCTTTGCCCCCCTTTTCCGCCCTCGCTGCTGCTCACGCGTCGCCACCATCTCTCTCTCTTTCTTTCTCTCTCTTTACTCTTTACTCTTTACTCTTTATTCTTTATTTCTGTCTCTGTTACTCTTTCATTCTACCCCCGATAGCTTCGTTCCATCTTCCTCTTTTTGATTCTCCTCTTCCTCTTTTACGTTTAAGCACGAATTTTACTCGTGGCGAAAAAAATGACGGTCCCCCACCTGAGGGGTCCGCTTTTTCAAAGGCTTCTTCTCTCTTCTAGCGCAATGTTTTTAAAATCATGAGGGATATCGTTTCTCTGGTCTCTTTCCTTTTATCCCGTCGTCCAATGAAATGCCTAAAGACTTATTTACGCGTTAATATTATTTCGTTCAATGATATATACTTTTTGTCTTATAAACTAGATTATTTTTTATAAAATTAACATTGTATTAAACGTTGCAATTTTATATCTTTTGATCATTTTCTGTGACGGTATGATTTTATTCTATTTTTAATGATTCGACTGATCCGGGATTTGCTTGACGAGATTGAGAAGTTCGTTTAGTATGATTTATGTTATTATTCGATCGATGAACGTCGTAGAAGTTTTCGAGGGAATACGCGTTTCGAGTGTTTGAGTAAAAAATATAAAAGAGTGGGAGGAGGAGGAGGAGGAGGAAGAGAAGGAGGAGGAGCGGGGGATGAAGGGAGATATACACCTTTTCGTAGGTAGGTAGGTAATCGTAACGCTTTCGCGACGAACGGATGCGGGCAAATGACGGCCCTGGCTGCATTTGAAACTCCGTTAACTCTCCGAATATTAGCTCGTCGAGCGAGATTAACCCCATTGTGCCCCGTTGCAAATGATGACATCACTATTAAACTCCCGTCGGCTTACGGAAATTGATTAAACTATCAAATTAGCTCTACTAATATCAACACATCAATGTCGAGAGGTACGATGGGTATGTATGTATGTATTGCAAGAGAGCGAGTGAAATAGAGAGAGAGAGAGAGAGAGAGAGAGAGGGAGAGAATGAGTGAGTGAGCAAACGAGAAGGGGGTGAGGAATGAGGGGCGGAGGGGGGCGGAGAGAGGTAAAGGGAGGTCTGCGCGATTTCCACAAGCTCGATCCCGAATGACATGAATTTACGTGTCCGACTATCGTTCGACGTGTGTGCATTCATCGGTCTGATTATATTTCCTAAGAGGTCCGCAATCACGAGCGCGAGTCTGCGTGGGGTGGGATTTGCAAATTGCACGCGTATAACAACTCTCGTGGTATAATAACGACTCCCGCGGTTGCCGCGGGGAATTTCATTGATCGCGGTTAATTGTCCGCGGTGAAGAACGTTCGTTCGTTCGGCTTCGAAGATCACCCCCACCCCGAACTACTCTATTTCCCTCTTCTTCTGCTACTGAACGCTAATCGACTGAAAGAGATAATATCTCCAGATAGAAAGATAACTACTTGCTAGGTATATACTTTCCAGTTCACTTCGATGCAATAAAAACGATATTAACGAAAGATCATTAGAAGAAAATAAAGAAAATATGTAAAAATTTAACGACCTTATAATTTCTTTTTTTTTTTTTTTATTTTTTTTTTTTTTATACGAGGATTATCGATATCGTTTTATTATTAAGAGAAGGAAAACAATTATGTTCGACGTAATAAATGTATAAGTTTAGACGTGAGAGGATAAATGTAATAGTGTAAGATTTGATTCCAGTAGTCTAAAGTTCTCAAACGTCCTTCACTTTTTTACCTCACACTCTCTTAGCATCGTTGTTCGGTTCTTCGGTTCTCTTCTCCCTTTTCCTCCTCGTTGTCCTCCAACCGGTATTCGGGAACTATAGAGCGTTAGATGCACTGTCAAGGGAAGTGTGAACAATTTCGTGCATTGTCAAGACTATAATATGGATGGCTGGCAGGATAATTATTGGAGGCCGTTTGAATCTAACTGTTTCCTTCATTAGCAGTCTCAGTTCTCTCGACTCTGTTTCTCTCTCTCTCTCTCTCTCCCTTTCTGTTTCTCTTTCTCTATTTCTCGTTTTGTCTTCTCTGCCGCCTTTCTCTCTCTCTCTCTCTCTTTCTGGCTTTCTCTTTCTCTTCCTTCCACTTTCCTTCTCGCACAATCTTTCTCTCTCTCTATTTTTCTCTTTCTCTTTCTCTTTCCTTGTCTTTCTCTCTATCCGAATTTTGTACAGAATTACCCACCATTATCATAATTGCGCTATTACCGATAATATCTACGACTTGGCTTCGAAACTGTAGCTCGATGCTCTTAATCCATTTTCTATTTGGACATCGGGCTTTCGGTGGACGAGAGAAGTCGCAAGTTCCGTTGCGTAATTTCCGGCCCATTGAGTCTCTCTATCATCTCTTTCTCTTTCTCTTTCTCATTCTCTTTCTCTCGTCTCAGGGAATTATATATTTTGTAATAAGGGATGACGATGGGGACGCGTGAAGGTACCGAACTAAGGGTAATACGTACGAGTATGGGGAAATATCTTAGGTATTCGCGTAATCTACTAGAGCTTACTTAGATATAATAAAGGAATATTTTAGCTTTAGTGAAGAGTTAGTAAGTAGATAGTTTAACTTCGATCGATAACTACCAAGATTTAAGTCTGCTAAATTGAACGGATTCTTAGTCTGTACAAGTAGGTATGTACTATGCTTGAACAATTAGTAGGATTAAATTTTTGGTTAATTAAAAATGTAGAAATAATATAATAGATAAGATGTACTTTTTTTTTTTTTTGTAATAATTTTTGACACGCTTTACAACAAGGATTTAAATCTTTTAAATTGAAGACATGTTCGATTTTTGCAGGTACTTGTTTGAAGAACTGGTAGGAGATCGAATTTTTAATTGATTAAAAATTTACGATGAAAGTTTAAATTTTTCTAAATTGTAGGGATTGCGGATGAAAATAATTGATAAAAATTATAAGATATCTTATGGAATATTTTGAACAAATATTTTTATTCGTTACAATAGATGAATAGGAAACGCTCGAATAGAAAATAGAAGACTTTGGTAATGCGATGGAAGAAGCGACACCTTCGATGGCAATTAGAATTGGCGGTAGGTGGTAAGCTGTATCTGACAGTTTTTCGAAGGGGTCCAGCCGAGAAGAACGGTTGGTCGGTTGCTTCAATGCCGCAAATAAATTTCACATTCATTATCGCGTATTACGAAGGCAC